CTCTCATTCTCCCTAGGCGAGTGTGGTTTGTCCTGCGACGGACAGGTGACCCATCAGGTGACCCATCAGGTGACCCATCAGGTGACCCATCAGGTGACCCGTCAGGTGTCAGGTGACCCGTCAGGTGACCCGTCAGGTGACCCCTGACCCCACTGGGACAGGAGGTGTGAGCAAATGGATGGAAGGGAACTTGGTAGGATTCTGTGTTTTTGCAGTGCAGCTGTCAGATTCTCCTCCTTCCTGTCTTTTCTGCTTCGACCTGATCGAGTCGTTTTATTTACACGGAACCAGAACATTTAGTAAAACACGGAACCGGAACCAGAATCTGTGTGAATGAAGGAAACATCTGGAACATTTTCCACCAATCCGGATCGGCTGGTTCTCTCCCGGTTCTGTTGGTTCTAGATCATGGTTATGATCAGACCATCAGAACCAGCTGAACACCAACGCTGTGATGAGGACCGGGTCAGCAGAACCACGGGTCGGCGCCAGTAGAACTCTGGGAGGAACAGACTCATCGGATCGGGGCGCAAACACTGCAGGCGACCCGTTTCTGGTTCTGAGCCCGGTTCAGACCCAGAGAACATCCAGAGGGTCCGGCATCCATCAGGTTCTGCTTTATTTTGGTACCGATACCGAGGTTCTGGGCTCGGTTCTGAACAGTGGACTGGTCTCTAAGACGCCTGACCGATCTTAGAAACACTTCTGGGTTTAATCCAGAACCAAACCGGGCCTTGGACCAACATTTAGTTCATGTAGGATGTATCAGACCCAGACCCGGTACCAGTCGGTGCTTCCTGACCCAAACCGGAGCTGAAGGAGAGAAACCTGCTGCTGCGGCTCCAGAACCGGGTCAGGGAGCGGCTCCAGAACCGGGTCAGGGAACGGCTCCAGAACCTCTCCCCTCAGTCTGGAGGTTTATTTCAGAAACAGCCTCAGCAGCTGCTGCCGGCTGGTTCCTGGTCCATTTAATGGACGGGTTCGGGCTCAGAACCTCTCAACCCGACCAGATCCAACAGAACTCATTTCTCTGGTCTGATCAACTGGACCGGGTCAGTCGTTCTCCTGAAGGTCCTGATGGTTTTCTTTAGGTTCTTCCAGAACCTCTAAGGATTTTTAAGGTGAATTTCTAGATTTCCAGAACCTTTAATGGTGAGTCTTTACCGACGTCCAGTGGTGGACGCCGCTAGCTAAACGTTAGCTACGCTAACCCTAAAGCAATAATTATAATCATTAGTCCTGATAATGTTAATGGCTATACCAACATGTATTCCGCTAAGGCTAAAGCTAAGGCTAAAGCGCTCTACCCACATGTTGTTTTGCTAAAACTGATGCTAAAATGCTAAACCAACATGGTCTTAGTGGAAGCTAACACGCTAATCTCAACCATGTTGATGCCCACCATGTGTCACAAGAAAAACATGTTTGTTTGTTTGTTGTTTACATGCCATTTGCTCGATAAAGATAAGTGGGAGAAAAAGAGAAAAGGTATGGAGAGGAAACTGTCTCCACCCCTTCAAAATAATGGCATGGAAACGTCTGAACACTTGAAGAATTGCTAACAGTTGATAACCAAAACTTTAACAGATGTTGAATTTTATTCAACTGAAAGTTTATAAACAGCCGAATAAATTTGAATTTATCTGGAGAATTCAATCTAAGCTACGCTAACGGTTTAAACTCAATGAAAAATTAGCTGTGCTATTAGCGCATTAGCACATTAGTGGAGATGTTCCCACCACAGCTGACATCTATTGTTGGACAGAAAATATTTGCTCAGGATGTTGATTCACATCTTTATGGTCCAAAGAACCTGGATCAGAACCTGGATCAGAACCTGGATCAGAGGAAAACTGTTGAATCCGGATCCGTCCTCTGGAAAACCGGACAGAAAAAGCAACAGAGCCCAGAGAAATCCACCAGGAAGATCTGCTGCCTGCATGCAGAACTCCTGGAGGTTCTGTAGAACCGGGTCAGAATGAGAAGGTTCGACCGAAGGAGGGAGAGTTTCTGATTAATAAATACTCTGGTTCTGACCCGATCAGTTTGTGCTGATGTATGATGAACCAGAACCGCCCTGCAGAGGTTTGATCCAGAACAGAACACAGCTGGTACATTTAGCCTGGTCCAGTTGGTACTTCTGTTGGTTCTGATTACAATCAGAACCGGGTTACTTTCTGGTCCACTTCACCTCAGCAGACAAACATCCAGAACTAGAAGGTACCAGCAGAACTCTGGGATCGATTCAACGCCTACAGGAACCGAGGGAAGCCGGTTCTGCTGAGGTTCTGTTCAGGCCCGTCTGTCTGGGCCGTCTCTGCAGTTCTAGGCCTCGTACCCGGTGGACCGGCGCCGCTGCTGGTTCCAGATGTCGTCTCTGTGCTCTGGCCGGCAGAACAGCCTGGAGGACTGGGCCAGGCGTTCCTGGCGCTCCCGGTCCCGGTCCGGACCCGCTTTGGAGCCCGGAGGCCCGCCGCCGAACCGGCAGGAGGACTGAGTCCTGTTGTCATGGAAACCGGAGAACAGCTGACCCCCTGCGGACCTGGAAACATCAGAGACGGTGACCGGGTCAGAGGACGATCCAGAACCGCCAACCGACCAGGAACCAGCAGAACCAACTGACCCAACCATGAGGCACGGTGGTGGCTCCATCATGGTCTGGGTACGGGTTCAGAGGTCGCCATCGTCCAGAATGACGGAGGAAAATGTTTATTTTATGTTTCTACAGATTAAAATCGAACCGATCCGTCCTTCAGGTTCTTCATTTGATTGTTTCGGCCTGAAGTCAGAAACGTTTTAACATTTTGATCAGATGAAGAAAGAAAAGCTGACCTGCTTTTAGTGATTCTGTGTCGGCCGTCATCAGTCTGCTGCTGAAAGAGGACAACAAAAAGTCAGAAAAACATTTAATAAGAAAGAAAAAGTCTAAATAAAGAGGAGGGTGACTAGAAAAGAGAAAAATCAGCAAATCTAAAGCAGGAAAAAAGGAGAAACAACAAACTCAGTGTTTCTCATCCTGGACCTCAGGCCTCCTGTCCTCCAGGTTTCAGGTGTTTCCCTTCTGCCACCTGGATTGTATCTCTGGGTGATTAACAGGTTTCTGCAGTACCTGATGGTCCTGCAGTCATTTGGATCAGCTGTTCTGGAACAGAGGCTCATCTAGAACATGCAGAGCAGGGGGGGGGGGACCAGGGTGGAGAAACGCTGAGCTAACTGATGCTCTCCACCAGGGGGTGCTGCTGTACCTTGTGGCGGTCGCCCGGCGCCGGGCCGCCGTTCACCTGGTAATACTCCACCAGCCTCTCTGCCAGGGCGATCCGACCCAGCAGGTTCTCGATGAAGCGCTGGATCCGGACTTTCCCGCTCGTCTCCTGGCGGGCCGCGGCCTCCAGGAACCTCTGGATGGTGAGCACCTCCCTGGAGACCAGCAGAACATCAACCCAGATGCTGGATGCTCTGACCCGCTCCGGTCAGAACGTCGGACCCAGGTGGCCCCTACCTCTCCCGGCGCTCCAGCTCGCTGTCGGAGGCGTTGAGCTGCTCCCTCAGAGCGGCGATCACCATGACGGCCACGTCCACCTGCCGGCTGAGCGAGCGCTCCCGCTCCGCCACCTGCTGCCGCTCCTGGGCCAGGTGCTGCGAGTGAGCGCGCTCACACAGCAGCTCGGTGTCGGTCCGGGCCAGCTCCGTGCTGACCTTGGCCAGGCGCCGCTGCATGGTGCCGTCGGCGGCCCGCAGGATGCTGGCCAGCCGCCGCCGCACCGCCGCCGAGGCCGCCGCCGTCTCCCGGCCGCAGTAGGAGCTCTGCGCTGGTGGAGCCAGTGAAGAAGAGACGTTAACTTCCTGCTGGTGGACGAGGAGACGCGCTGGAGGAGAAACTCACCAACCGGGTCCGGGTCTGGGGACGCCGGAGGGAACTGGAGGTGATGGAGGCGTCCTGAGTCCGACTGTTTGACTTCTGACTCTTCTCTGGTCTCTTCTGCTTCCTCTCCATCCTCCTCTTCCTCCCCGGTATCTTCATCATCCACCCCTTCCTCCTGCGTCCCCACGCCGACGCTCTGGGTCCGCCTCCTCACCGCGCCGTAGGAGTGCAGGTAGCCGCTGTCTCTGCTGTCGCTGAGGGAGCGGACGTGAGGCGGCCGCGCGGCGCCGTGCTGCCCCCTGCGGGCCGGGAGGCTGGTGTCCTGCCAGGCGATGGCGGCCGCCAGCGGGTCGGGGAGCGACCCCGTAATGCTGAAGTCTCCAGACACAACGTCCGGAGAGCGGTAGGAGTGGCGGTACTCCAGGTGGGCCCGCAGGGAGGCCAGGCTGCGGAACCGCTGCTGCTCGCCGCATCGGGGGCATCGGAACGGGAGCTCACAGGAAGTGACGGAGTCCGGAAGGGCGCCGCAGGCCTGACCGTTCCTCTCCAGCAGGAAGGAACCAGAACCTCTGGAGCACAACTTCTGCTGCATCTCTCCACTCCTGAAGAACAGGAAGAGAACCTGTTGGTACCGTTAAGGTCGTTTCATACCGAACGGTTCAACTTCCTCACTTTGACAGCTGAAGGTTCATTTAGGGACTAAAGTTTTCTGGTCATCACAGATCAACACTGAAGGAAACTGGGGCGATCAACAGGTGCAACCCGACTTTCATCCTCTAGATCAGGGGTGTCCAAAGTGGGTCCTGGAGGCCCAAAGTGGGTCCTGGAGGCCCGGCATCCTGCATGTTTTATTTCTCTCCCTGGTGGTTGGAACAACCTCCTCAGCAAGTCAATGTTCCTCTCAGGCCTCTAATGAGCATCATTTGATGGAGGTGTGTAAAACCAGGGAGAGACTAAAACATGCAGGATGCCGGGCCTCCAGGACCCACTTTGGGCCTCCAGGACCCACTTTGGGCCTCCAGGACCCACTTTGGACACCCCTAGTCTAGATGCTCCACTAAGGAAGCCTGGATAAAAGTCTGCAGTAACGGGGAACCTGCTGGCTTCAGTCAAATTTAAGACCAAATAAACCGTAAATATTAGGGATGATTGGGATCCTGCAGGCTGTTATGGGTTGGCAACACAAGTGGGTCAGTGGCAAAAATGAACGTCATCCATCAAACCTTGGATGAATTTGCACTTATGATAGATGCAAACAAAGCTAGCTAGCAAAGGTACATTAGCAGCTAGTTACTGAGCTACAGAACTCAATGAAAACGTCTGAGCGACTCAAACTGCCTGACAGAAAAGTCCTCAAAAGCAAAAACTCCATAAAGATGAAATCAGTCCTGCAACGATTAAATTTCAGACTTGATTCATGTATTTAGGCCAACTTACATTTTTAAATACATTTAAGAGATTTTAAGGCTTTTTAAGGATGACCTGACTGAATGCATCTGTTCCTATCGCCGACGTTTTAATGAGCCTGTTTCTATATTATTTTGTTTTCAATGCATCAGCAAAATCACAACCAGCAAAACTGACTAAGTTGGAAAAGTGGAGCGAGAACTGCCACAGGCTGATTTCCAGAACTTTCTAAACCCAGATTAGATTAGGGAATACGGTCGTTTACTCATGCATTTGGCCAATTGCAGATTACAGAGAATTAAGAAAATCTGCCGATTTATCGGTGCATTTCAGGCACATGACAGCAGGAGATGTTGTGACTAATGACTGCAGCTTCCCATCCGACCGCCGAGCCCGACCTGCTGATTCTGATTTTGGCCGGTACCGATTCTAAGATAAGGTCCGATTCTCATGGAAGTGTTGGATCTCCCAAAGTTCAGGGTCGGTTCACTGCCCATGTTTAAAACAGAGGAACCGGGTTTTCTCTGTTCAGACGTCTGCTACGCGCTAACACGACGTCACTGGAGGTCAGGATTAGTTTAATCCCTGACTGACTCAGTTCAGTGAATCAGGAATCTGTTCAGAATCAAAAGTCGTTTTAGAATCAGGACTTTGTTCAGAGAATCAGATCAATCTTTCTCTGTATATTCAGGGCAGAACGTTTCTTTCCTGGAGTTAGAAAAGACATGAGGGCGGAGTGATGCTGTGGGCCGAGGCCTTATTGAGTTCTCGTAGTGAGTTCTAGTGAACAAATGGATCAGAACTTTGAACTAGTTCTTTCAGGAAAGAATCTTTCTGTTCACACTGAGTTTCTGAATCAGAACCCAGGATGATCTCCAGAGGTCCAAACAAAGCCGAGGCCCACAGCATGATGAACCACCACCGTGCCGAGGCCCACAGCATGATGAACCACCACCGTGCCGAGGCCCACAGCATGATGAACCACCACCAGGCAGACAAACTTTGCCTCCTGAAGGTTTCCAGAGATTAAACCAGATCAACCTGAACTAAAGAAACAATTAGACACAAATTAGGATGAAATAGAGAAAAACATGTAAGATATAAATTAATCATGAGAAACTGATCAACTCTCCATATTTATCCCAGGTATTTTAATATTTAATGATTCGTGGATGAGTCTTCATAGATTACAGGATCAAAATAAATCAGCTGTTAATGCACAGATATTAAATTATCAGAATGGGGCTAATTATGAATGAAAAATGAGACTAAGTGGGTCTGATCGACCCGAACTGCAGCTTCACTCACAGAACATCAGCCGAACCGGGCCAGCATGGTTCCGTTTAATCTGGTTTTAATTCTCCAGCTCCAACAGGTCAGTCCGTCCTCTTAGTCTGTTCTGCTCCGGCTGGCAGCAGCGAGCTGTGACCCAGTAACGCCGGCCCGAACCGGAACCAGAACCAGAACCGAGCAGCGGCTCCTTCTCACCGACTGAAGCGGGTTTAGGCGGAGCGTCTCCGGCTGAAGGAGTCATGTCGCAGACAGAGACGGTCCTCCATGATGTCATCAGCAAGCTGGCCACGCTGCTGCCGACACACTTCCGGTTGGGCTTTTCAGAATAAAACCACGCTGACGGTCACTGCTATCGTTTACAACAGAGAAATCTTTAATAATCTGAATATTATCTCGCCAGATTAACATTGCAGTGCCACATAAACTCAGAAATAGTTCATTAGTAATAAACTAGAAAACAAAGGTGCCGACTACATCCGGTAGCATCGAAAAGCCTCAGAATCCAACCGGAAGTAAAAACTGGCTGGACTCGTTACGTTTTCTGCATGTTTTTCTTTCCTGCTGTAGCGGAGTTAAATCTATACATTATCCATAAAATGGTTTACAAAATGTATTTTATTAAAATGTATAAATTAATTCATTATCAGAAATCAAACAAAAATAGCTAAAAAAAATATTAGCGCTTAATGTATTTCTTACATTTTACTAATATGTTCTTAATAATAGTAATTTTGAGTTTGACTCTAAATCGAAGTCAGTCCAGGTAGGCATAAGGTTTAATGTGGCTCTGTACCATCACTGGAGGGATTAAACTAACAGACAAAAACACAATAGAACAACGTCTGACCCTCAGATCTGATTAGAGTTCAGGACATGAACTGGAGAAGGACAATAACATTGTAATGTTCTACATATCATGTGAAATTTATATTTTAAAAAATTACAAATTATATTTTTTCTTTTCTTTTACAATAATAACCAAAAACAAACAAATGAAAGAAACAGAAACAATCTCACAGTTTTTGATATAATCAGAAAACTTTGGATTAATCTTGGGGTCTCACTTTTTCTATGCTGCTAAATATATTATAATAGATATTATTATTATATTAACTCTGAAAATCGTCAACTAAAAAACATGTTGAATTTTATTTTCATATATGCAACATTTTTTTATCCACAAACAAAATCTTGTCAAACTGAACCAGTTAAATCAGGTTCTGGTTCCATCAGAGCTGAACAGAACCTGGATCAGCAGAATAACAGCAGCAGAGTGTTTGTGTTCACACTGGGAGTCACTAGAAGGATTCATGTGTTCACACTGGGAGTCACTAGAAGGATTCATGTGTTCACACTGGGAGTCACTAGAAGGATTCATGTGTTCACACTGGGAGTCAC